TCAATCGATCAATCGATCAATCAATCAGTCAATCAATAAATCAATCAACCAACCAATCAATCAGTCAATCAATCAATCAGCCAACCAATCAATCAACCAATCAATAATCTACGAACCAATAAATCGATCAATCAATCAATCAATCAATCAATCAATCAATAAATCAATTTGTTTTTGTTTTTGTTTTTTTCCACTTACCCAAAGAAGAAAAAAAAATCTATTTTTTTATTTTCTTTGGTTGGGGGGGGGGGGGGGGTGTGTACCCCTCTACTCCAGCCAGCCCCCCGCTTGTCGCCGGATTGCAAAGGCCCCCCGCCGAAGGCCCCGGAACGGGCTCGTACGGCCATACGTACGGCCCATACGTCGTCCAGGGGGGCGTACGTACGGCCCGTATCCGTACGACGGGCAGACGTAGCCCCAGAACATCCCGCCAGATGTGCGTGTATGCACGTTGCAGGGTCATCGGGCGATGTACTTGGGTGTTGTTTCGCCAGAAATCCATCCAGGCAAAACGGGCCACATGCGAGGCCCCATTTGCCTGGATAGATACGGGGGTAAAGGCACCCCAGAACATCCCGCCCGATGCGTCTGCATGCGCGGTGCGTTTCTGCAAAATGGCTGGGAAATGTACTCGCGGTAGAGGCCCACGTACTCGTTGCACATGGGGCTTAAAGGCACCCCATGTACAACCCAGAAACTGGAAAGCTTTTTTTTTTTTTTTTTTTCGGAAAACACATCCCTCCTGCCAGTGCTAGTGCTGCTGATACGAGCAGTCACCACTAGCACCCAGGTGGAGGCTCCATCTATTGGTGGGGAGCATCACCTGCTGGAAACCGGGTCCAGCGTCCCATATACAGAGTCTATAAAAAGGGGGGGGATATTTGAGAAGTGCGTTTATGGGGCCTGCCAGCATTGATTGCCCTGTCTCCAGGGGATTAACTGAGCAGGTGTGTGTGTCCAGAGTCATAGTGATGTAGCCCTTGTCGTCCGTATCTCTTCACCCCCCAGAAGGGGGCGCCAGATGACTCAATATGCGCTGATACTTCTGCAGGAAGTAGTAAAGCAGGAAAATCCCTGGGGGGCTCCAGGGGAGAATATGAATAAGAGATCGGTCGACAGCGATTTTTTTTTTTTCTTTTTTTTTTTTCTGTTTTTTTTTTTGAAGCCCAGGGTGTTGTAGAGGCCAAGGACCAGACCCGCGGTGATTACTGGTAGTGGCAATCAATGATTGTCCTGACAGGATAGGCCACCTACCCTACCCATCCCCACGTTAATTCAGTGCCTTCATTTGTATGTTCTGACCTGGGGCCAAGTCCCACTTACGCTGATCCTTGATTTCTGGTCGTTGATCTTCCAAATCTGCGGTCAGAAATGGATCATTCGGGTAAGTGGGACTTGACCCCTGCTCTGTTAACTTTGCTCTTTCTTTTTAACGCATAAGCTGAAGAGAAGGCCTTACTGACACTTATTTTCCTGCTCCTGTTGCTCTTTTTTTGTCTTTGTCCTTGGCCATTATTTTTTGGTTGTTGTTTCCTTTCTCTCTTGGCAATGCATGCAGGCTGTGAACTTGCTGGATGCTGGCAAAGCATTGGGCATCAATGTTATTCGTGTTTTGGTTGGTAATCTCGGTGCTTTTGCAACCCAGACTGGTCCTTCCAACTTCTCCGAAAAGGCTTTGCAGGTACGTTTTTACGTTTAGACAAGGTTATTAAAAAAAAAAAAAAGAAAAAAAAAAAAGAAAGAAAGGTACGTTTAGACAAGTATCATATCAATTCCCACTTGTTTTCTTTTTGGGGAAATTGCATCCGTACCTCATTTAAAGATTGGAACTGCATGTATACCCAGTCCCAACACCCAGCTTGGATCTATAGATTCTATACCCAGCCCCTTCCCCCCTTTAAATTATGGGAGGGCACCAATCTGGTTACTTTTCACCAGCAAGCATAAAAGTACAATATTGAAAAATGGTGTCAGTACATGGAAACATTAAACTGCGAAATTACATTTTAAATATGCTTTATAGGGACGCTGGACCCGATTTCCAGCAGGTGCCGCTCCCCACCAATAGATGGAGCCATCCCGGCACTGCTAGCGGTGTCTGATCATATCAGCACTCCTAGCAGAAGCTCGGGCTGTTTCTTCCAAAAAAAAAAAAAAAAGGTGTCAGTAAACCAAGGCTGCTCATGAGCCGACGTAGACTAATTAACATACCCAGTCCTGCCCGCTAAACCTTGAGGACATCAAGAGACCTTTCCTCTATTCCACTCATCCCAAACCACCCCCTATTCTACTCATCCCATCTAATTGCAGGTAACAGAGACACAGAAAGTACAAAAGACAAAAAAAAAGGGGAATGCAATGGGACCATAATGGAAGAAAATAATAACTTTTTTGCGCGAGCGCGTGGGGAGCTTACCGGCCGGCAGGCCCGGCGGTCAAGGTACCCAACACCTCGGTGGTGCCGAGGCGGACGGACGACGTTGACGCCATCACCACGGAGAGAGGTAGGGTAACAAGGTGGAGGAGAGAGGTGGGCACCATCGCCGATAAGGAACTTGGCGATAGTGGTGGTGAGACAAGCTGTGAGGGGTGGGGATAGGGTGGAGGGGACGAGGGTGGCGAGACGCCCGGTGCATAGTGCCGTGCGGTCAACGAACGGAGGGCGCCCTTGCGCTATATAAGGGAGCGAAGACAACAAAGGTCCACAAGCCAGCGGCGACCGGGCTTGCGGAGATCTGCAATATGCTGCGGACACTTGGCTTGTGGTTCTGCAGGATGGTCAGCGCCGGTTGCCAGAGATGGTGCTTCTTCTATCTTCGGCAGCCCGAGATTGGTCAGGGGTCGATCGGGGGGCGATCTCAATGACTACATGGAGAGAGGGCATGCTACAACGAATGATGGAAGTGCTCTGGGAGTTAGAAGAGGGACCGGATACATGTTGGGAACATCTCCTAGACTGGCAGAAGGCGGACGAGATCATGCATCAGTGCTATGCGCTCTATGAAGAGGGGGGAAATCGTCTGCTGAGTTGGCAACGCGACAGGCTGGAGAGGCCAAAGAGCGAGCGATAACAGCGAAGCTGACACAACTGCCGTTGGTGGGGGATAAGTCGACGTTCAATCCATTTTCAGCACACGCAACAGTTCCATCAGCATTGACAGAGGATCACACGAAGGCATCAACAGCAAATGCATTGAGTTCATCATCAACAACAACGGCAATTTCTTCATCCATATTAACTGAGGTTATGACGAGGACATCTTCAGCGTCAACAATAGATTCTGCGACAACAACAACAACAACGGATACTTCTCCATCCTTATCAACAGCACTCATGACGAAGACATCTTCAGCATCACGGCTCCATCGAATAACAACAACGGGGCTATTAACGAAGATATCTGGAATACAACATTCAACAACATCCAAATTGCTCACATCGCTTGATACAATCATCATGCCGCCGATATCTCTCCCTGCGACAGCTACTATGGTAAGTATGACCCAGTCTCTTTCAGTTCTCTCTTTGTGGGAGACTCAGCTTGGGCTGGAGGGTGGCCTGCTGGGGCCGAAGGTTAGCCGAGGGTTTGTTGTGAATGGGAGGATGCAGACCTGGCGATGTGCCGTGGGGTGGTGTGCTGATGAGCAGTTTCCGTGGGATTCGGGGGGAGGAAGACAGGCTATTCGTTCTCTCTCCCCTTTTCCCTCCCGCCTCTGATGTGTTTGATTCCTCTTCATTCCTGATTTCTTCTACTTTGGGTCATGTTCACTTAGGGTTTGTGACTGGGATCGGGGATCCCGTCGATTGATTTGCCCTGCTGTATCTTCCCCCGAAATCTTGTTTTCCAGGGATTGATCATTACTGGTTTGGTACTGAAGGGCAGAGATAGATTGTCCAGGGGGCTGAGTTAATCCTTCCCTCCTGGGGAAGCAATCAATGCTCAGTTCCCAATCTTCATTCTCCATTCTTGTCGTACAGGGAACCTGTCTCTATGGGAGCAGTGGCCGTGGCTCTTCCAGCCCTAATGGGAAGAGGCCTGTGTCTGCCATGTATTCAAATTTCTAATAAGAGCCTTGGGCACTGGGCCCTGATTTCCAAAAAAAAAAAAAAAAAAAAAAAAAAGTGCTAGTGGTGACCTTCAGAACACAATCTACAAATTTAAAGATAAAAAGGCCCCACACTGGCGTATTATGGGGCTCATTAGACACTCCTCGGGGACGCAAAATCCCCAAGGAATTGTTCGTTCCACCTATCCTCGGGGATGCAATCGAAAAAAAAAGTGAAAACACTCGTAAGGGAAAAAAAAAAAAAAAAAAAAAAAAAAAATCCTCGGGCAATAGGACTTTCCCCAGCCATTTCTTCCTATTGCCCAAAGGACCTCACGAGGTCCCTTAGGCACAAGGAATCTGCGTTTCACGGAGAGGAGAGGGCACACGGGTCGAGAGACGTTACAGTCGAGAATCTGGATCGTGGCGGCACCCTATTGGCTGAAGGCCTGAAGCACCACTGTTTTTTTTTTTTTTCTTTTCTTTTCTTTTTTCTTTTCTGACATCGCTCTTAGGGAATGTTCTTGGGTGACTTTCCCTAGGACAGGTGGAACGACGGCCCAAATTTCCTTTTGAACCATTAGGAATTTTTCCTATTGCCCTTTGAGGATTTCAAAAGGAGTGTCTATGTCCTAAGACTGACCTTGGAACTGGCGACTGGAAAGATAAACAGCAGACTATGATCCTTCCTAAGTTGTCCTTTTTATTTATATAGGAAATGTAAAGTGAACCGCGGCACTAGGGGAGGTGATATGAGCAGCCTCCCCTAATGCACAATCCGGTTGCTCCAATCTATTGGTGGGGAGCAGCACATGCTGGAAAATGGGACCGGCATCCCATTTGCACCATTGAGAAATATTATGATTAAGAAATAATAATAATAATAAAAATTGGGAAATATTTAATATAATGATGCAAGTGAGATCCGGACTGCCAGCATTGACTGCCCCAGCGCGACTGGGCATTTAATTGTGCAGCTGTCAGCTTGAGGTAAACTGGATAATATTCGTTATAACGATAATATCAGGCGTTCAAATTTAACCCCCACCTTCGAATGGAAAGGGGGAGCGATTGCTGACGATGGTGGCGTGCGAGAATATGGTAGGGTCGGCCTTAGAGCTGAGGTCTGTGCTGGATGATTACTCCAATTTGTCCGAAGCCTCCATCAACTGGAATAAGTCGGTTGTGCTTCTTCCTGCACCCCTCATCTTTGTGGAGAACTGGGGTCCGAAGTCAGTACCAGCCGATTCATCTGAAAGATTGTTAGGGGTGCAGGTGGCTATGTCAGACTGTTCAAGAGCCCAGGATAGCATTTTGGAACAGAAAGTGGTGGGGGGCAAATAGGAAAATGGGAGAGGTAAGTTTCTGTCTCTCTTAGGAAGGGCACTGGTACTTTCCGCTGCAGCGTTTTCGACACTGCGAAGTTTTTTCAGCAGTTGACTCCGCAGGACACTTTGGAAAAGCTTAGACGCTTAGCGTTGTGATTCAAATCAAGGATGCGTGGGACACTGTTTAACTTACGCATGAGTGGATCTCAGTAGAAGTGTTGCGCAGGAAGCTGCCAAGATTGCATAGCTTGGAGCTCAACTTCAACAGGCTGAAGGCAGCTATTCCATGTTTATGGCTACTGACCCTTCACCCAGATCGCCATCCGGCAGTCGACACATGGTTTGTCTCTCCAACTGATCCCACACAAATCTGGCGTATCTTGGGGCCCCTGACCCCTTTGGGCACTAAGGTCCATGTCTGGGCTCGCCAAGCGGACTCCAAAACTGAAGATTTACTCTGTTGGAAAGGCGAAGATCACTCCTTTTTTTTTTCTTTTTTTTTTTTGAAGAATAGCCCCTGTGTAAGCCCACTATCCCGGCGGTGGTGTGAGAACAGTCAGGATTGAGGGCTTATCTATCGGGCTGCTCCGTCTATTGGTGGGGAGCGGCACCTGCAGGAAACCGGGGCCAGCGTCCCTTTTGGAATACAGAGTTAGCTGTCACTTTTCCTGGGCCATGATCAACTTTTTTTTTCGCTATACAGCCCGAGACCCCATTTTCCCTCAGAGCTGCTAGTGTTACCCGTCCCATCATGGAGCACTTATTATGCTGTTGATCTGCCCAATTCTGCAGCTCCCTGTTTGTCGTCGACAGTCAGTTATCTCATGTATAGGAAGTTTAAGGCTTTATTGAGCCTTATTTAAACCCTAAACCCTAGACCCTCTGCAGGCCCATGGTTTGGGAGATTGTGATCAGTATATGAGCCGTATGGCCTGAAGATCGTGCCGGTCTTTACTCCACACACAGTCCTCCGGATACATCAGCCCAGCCGTAGACCCTCTACAGACCCATGGTTTGGAAAGTTGTGATCTGTGTGTGATCTGTGTGGGCTGCGGATCGTGCGGGTCATCCCTCCACAGCCTATCCTCCCGATGCATCAGCCTGCTCCCACGCCTAGCAATCAAACCCTCCCGATCGTCATTGTGTCACCCTCTGCAGGCCCATGATTTGGGAAATTGTGATCTGTACATGAATCGTATGGCCTGAAGATCACGCCGGCCATCACTCCACACACAGTCCTCCGGATACATCAGCCCAGCCGTAGACCCCGTGCAGACCCATGGTGTGGAAAATTGCGACCTGTGTG